GTCTCTGTAGTACACAATCCTGGTCAACTGCTATACAGCACGAATTAACAACTAGACTAGCTAACAACAAGCCACAGTGCTTGTACTTGTGTGACTTATTTTTTCAGGAAGATGTGCATGAGCATATGCTATGTGTAATTTTGTTGGGAACTGACGGGCATAAGAACTATTCAAGTCTCTGAGTAATTACGTATCAGGAAAACTGAATTGGTCATTTTGTGTCAGTGTGTGCATGGACAGAGTGGCTGTTAAGACCAAACTCCATTCTGGTTTCACCACTCAGGTCAAAGAGGTCATTTCTGACTGTAAGTTTATGCACTGTGTTACCGATAAAGAAAGGCTGTCTAGCTGAAATTGCCACCTGGACTTAAAGGTGTTTTTCAGGGTGTGATTAAATTATCAAACACATGAAGTATCTGTCCTTAGATTGTGTTTGTGTACACAACTCTGTGAAGAGATGGACACAGAGCACCTGCATCTTCTCTTATAGGAAGAAGTGAGGTGGCTTTCCAGAGGCAGATCACTGGCCAGATTTCTCCAGTCATTACAGTTGCTCTGGATGTTTCTTCTAGAAAAATAGTCACCATTGGCAGCATGGTTCAGTGACACAGAATGGGTTGTAGAACTTGCTTACTCGTCTTACATACTCAACCCGCTTAACAAACTCAATCTGTCCCTGTAGGGGAGAATGATTACTGTGCTCAAGTTGGCAGATAAAGTGGCTCCATTCAAAGCTAAATCCCAATTGTGGGGGCAATAGTTGAACAATGGCATAGATTTTGCAGGAGACTGAGGCCAGCCTTGATCCTCCCGGCTGGTACATGATCACCTACTTCAGATTTTAAAAGAGCTTAAGCACTACACAGAAGACCTCAAACTTGGAAGGAATGGATCTATTTTTGATTCAGTCAGGTGAACTGAACTCCCAGGCCATGGGAAAACTGTCTCTTATGAAACTGGTTCCTGAGTCAAAAAGGTTGTGGACTCTCAGTTTGCCAGGACCCACAGTGAAATATTGCCTTTGTGAAATCCTTATTAGGGGAAATGCCATGTTCCTGGATCCTCTCAGGAATAAATGACACTACTAAGCCCTCAATTTAAAACTGACAAAGAGAGGAAATTATAATTTTTAAACATTTAAGTCATATTTCAAATGTTCGTTAAAAATTCCTGGCATATCTTCTCTTCCTGTTTGAGTTTTCTTTTAGTAACAGATAACCTTGCTCTGGTATCAGTTTTTGAAATAAAGTGCTGGTTCAGGAGCTTAGTTTTTATTGGTTGTGGTACCTAAGAGGTAGGAAATGTCCACCTAAAATAAACAATGGCTCACTGATCCACAGAGGTTTGAAGCTGGAACTGGGATTTAAAATCAAGTAATCACACCCAGCTCTGGATTCTCTAGAGTGACCTTGTCATCTCTTGAGCAGGAAAAATACAGCTCAGGAGAACTAATTGCCACAGATTTACAACAAAATACCTGGTTAGTTATTTGCTGTTGGAATCCCAGTGATTAATACAGCATCTACGAGTGTAGAGTCCAGGATACAATTGCTCAGGCACTTCTACTACTGTTTTAAGGTTTAAAGAACATAGAAAAAGTGGTGAAAAGTGGTAAGGTTATTGCTTTCAATCATGATGAACTTGGAGGAGGAAAGTAACTTTTCCTTACCTATCACCAGGTCGTGGCTGAGACCCCTATAACCAAAGGAATGTTAACAAGAAAAGCAGCATCCCCATGTATTTAATACAAGTTTTATGTGTCACGGAAGCCTTCGGAGTTGAAGACCCTAAAAAACAGTGAAAGCTATGATGTTATGCTTATGTTTGATGAAGACTTGATAGTCGTGCAATTGCGATTGGATGCAAGGGGCTGAGAACTGATTAATGGGGGAACTTGCAAAAGCCTGTTTGTTCAGCTGCCCCGGGCCTGTCTGTGTCTTTCTTTCTTTCCACCGGACACAAGAAGACCTTGTGGGCCTTGTGATCTACTTTAGAGGCAGGGCACAGAATTCTTTTATGGCCTGCTTCAGATAAATGAGGGAGAGGGTCACAGAAACCTTCTTGCCTCTGCTGTTTTCTCAGATATCAAGGTATTTGAGATAGATACCCCATTACGGCTCTTTTTCATATTTACATGGAACAGAATTGTGAAAAAGAAAGAGCATTTGTTTCTCTTTTATTATAGTTTTTACACCCCTTTTTGTTTCAAGTGTAGAATTGATTGTGCTCCTGCTGGTGGTATCCACAGGGAGCATATCACATATGTGAATAAATGTGTTCAGTGATGGATTCTTGAATCTAAGATTGACTAAGTATTCGTGGTAACATCATGAACTAAACGAACCATTGACATGAACTCCAAGAGAAACACAATTATTTCTTTGCTGGTAAATTATCTCACATTCTTTGTGTTTTATCTAAATGTGTACTTCTATGACAGTATTTTTAAGTGAAATGAAATATTCAGATTTTTACTTGAATAATGTAACTGTAGTATAGATCATCGCTTTTTTCCTGGTGTTCTGGGTGGATTCTTTGTATGGTAAACTTTATAACACTAGCCCTCCACTGGAAAGCTTTTAATGCATTAAGGTATACAAATTTTCCATTGGTTGTGATATTGTAATGGAATTTAGTATTTGGTGATTTTTTTTCTTTTTCAAGAGAGAAGGCTCAGAGCAATATACATTGAAACATGTTTTCTAATCACATGTGTGTGCTTGGTTTTACTTAAGTCTGACCACTTTATAAAGCATAAATGTTTTTCAAGTATAACAATGCATTTGGCTGTGTGTCTCAGATATCATCCCTTCTCTGGAAACTGTAATAATTAGAGAACCATTCCTCACCCTCTGGAGTAAGTCAGTGTCTTTTTAGTTTCTTTTTCTTTCATGTGACTCTATTTATTACTTAACTAGTGTGACAAATGCAGCTTACAATTTAAAAATGTGCTATTACTAATGCAAAATGTGTTGGCAGCAGCAGTAGTCATAAGGGAAAATGTCACAGAGCCCCCATTTTCCTCTTGATTGGACGAAGTGTTATTTAAGGAAGTGAAATGAACAGAATAATGAGACAGTTCCTGCTTTAGCACAATGGAATTTTACTTTGATTTACTGGACAGAAACATTAATAAGCAGCCAATTGATTACAACTCACAAAGCGTAGCAGTTGTCAGGCTTTGAATTATTTTTCTTTGACTTTACACTGAGAGTTAATCAGTATTTGAAACACAATGCAGATTAAAGGAAAAGCATGCTCTACGAAATTAATAGTTGCTTAGATTTAAACAACAGTTCAAAAATGACAAAAATATAACAAGATCATGAGAAGAGATTATATATCTACATAATACCACAAATTTGGAGCTACTTCAGTAGCTTTATTACTCATGAATTTGACTAAGCTACTGCACGTTATGATTACCAGAAGATATCATATTCAATGGAACTAAAAACACAAAATGCACTTATTTTTAATTGGGGTTTATTATCTGTTTCTTTAAAGTTATTGGTAATCCAAATTTATGTTTGCAACAGTTAGGTTTAAAAACACATGATGTAAGTGTGCCCCCATGTGGCTGCAGATAATTTGTAAGAGATTCAGAAAAAGCATTCATAGAGCAAGGACCCTGACTGTATATCTTAGTAAAGATTTACTCCATCCAAAGCACATGATTGTCTCCTATTTTTAAAATTTAGTGTGTTACATAACTCACAATTTCCCCCATAATTCTTACATGTACTTTATGTCTAGCAGTCATACATTTTAACCTGCATATCTATTTCCAATTCTAAAATGCTAAAGACACACAAATCAAAGATTTATTTTTCTTCATGTTCATAGTGTTTGGCTAAGCCAAGCCTGAGTAATTCTCTGTAATTATCCTAAAATCCAATTTGTGTTAAATAGGATGATAGATCAGGTAAGAACATCTGTACTAAAACAGATCTGCGGTGTAAAAAGCTGTTTGCCCATTTATATAAGGTGCACAAAGACAGTTACTCTTTACAAATTTTGTTAATCCATAACATATTGGACATTTACGATAAATATTAGAGATTCCGCATAATTTGAAATAGAGGTGCTTTTTCATAGAGCTGCTTTGTAGCGCTGACAGCTTTCATACTGTTTTGACATGAAAGTGCTGTTGCCCAGTTACTAATCCTCTTCGTTTACCTCTCTAGTGATGAGCCCCAGGGTCAAAGTCGCACCTACCAACCAGTTCGTGCTTCCACTGCAGCTCTGCAGGACTGGCTGTTAAAGACCCCGTTGGGTCTAAGTCTTCGTCAGGTCTCTGAGACAGTGCTGTGACTGAACTGGGCAAATGAGCTGTGCACGCCAAAAGTCTCAGGAAACAGGACTGAGGCACATTCTGAGTCAGGAGGAGAAACCTCCAATAGCAGGGGAGGAAACTGCTGTATGCTGGAGTGGCATTCATTTTTATTTGTTTGAAAGTCTTTCATTTGTTTGAACATGTCATGGAGCAGCTGGGAACTAGAGTTTTCTATTTAAGATGGTGTTTCGCCTATCTGTCCATCCTTCTGTCCATCCAGCCATCTGTCCGTGTGTCCGTGTGTGTGTCCGTATGTCCATGTGTGTCTGTCTGTGGAGCTCAGAACTATGCCCAGGACCTTGTGTATGCTAGGCCAGCACTACACCACTGAACTATACGACCAGCTCCTTTGCGACTCTTTAAAAGCAAGGCACTGACGGTACAATTAGAAGACTGAATTTTCAATTAAAGTTGTCATTTGAATTTTAACCAACTTTAACGTTGCTGTTCAAAGTGGGAGTTTCTTCAGGTGAAAGTAAATCTTCCCATGCTTTCATTTTGTTACTGCCAGTTCAAAACTCTGTGCAGCTACACCGCCTTTTCACATTGAAAATTTAAAAATGAAACAGGAAAAATTAAGTTTTAAAGATTACTTTCATAAAGTAAATAAGAAAAGTCTTTATTTCTTTACTAAAATTCTCGCTCTTTAACTACAATTCATTGTTTAGCAGGGCACTATTTTTGACCATGAAGAAAAGATGTTTTTATGTTGAATCATAAGACTGGAAGAAATTTTTTAAAAATTCTTAAAAGAATCTGAACCGATTTACATTTTTTTGATCATTTAACATTGTTTCTAAAGTCCCTATAGAATAGTATTTCATAAAGTAAATGCATGCTTGTCACTTTTTACAAAATGAATTATGTTGTGTTAAAAGGTAAGCTGAGCATTTTGACCCCCCTATTATATTTTAAAGAGGAATCTAAAGTTTAAATCAGAGTGAGGGTCAATCTCAAGCTAGGTGTGGTGTCCCGGGGTGTGGTCCCCTCTATTTGGGAGCATGAGAGGGGACAATTTTGAGCTCAAAGCCAGACTGGACAGTGGAGAAGGCCCCTGTCTCAAACCAAAATCAAGCAATATCGAAGTAATGATCATATCAATACTTCAATTAATATATTTTTGTCACTGGTCATGGTGCAGCGGGGAGAAAAAGACAAGCAGTGGGTGAGGCCGAGGGTGTCAGTCAGTGGTTGGGCACTTCCCTAGCATTTGGAGGCCTGGGCTTCAACCCTCAACACAGCAAAAAGGAAACAAAACAAAGAAACTCCAGGGAGGAGATTACAGTATTTGTAATCTTAATTTACATTCTCGTAGCAGTGAATGTCCCCTAACAAAACGCTGGCTTGTTGCTCTGCAGAAATTGGTTCTCAGCCACAGGATCTCTCTCGATGCTTGATTGCAGTGATTGCTCATGCTTTTCTGTGCTGAGTGTCTTGGGCTCCTTAATAAGGTATGTTCTACAAAGGGATTACAATTAAGTATAATTTATTTTTCATTTGATGGTATTTTTAACCTTTCATTGGAGTCGAAATTATTTACTGAGTGACGGCCGTTCTCACCTGTTCAGGATAGAAATGTGTCACTCACAGGAAGTACCTATGCCTAGAGGCAGGATTATCCAAACTCACCAGAAATCTAGACTGACAAGTTGCTTGTTAGATTCCCTACATCTCACTTAGCTTTTAAAGATCTAATTAAATTTTTCTTCAGCGTCGTTACAAATAGTATGCGGAGATCTAACAGTCTGACTTACATATCACCTCTCATCTGGGTGGAAGGGTAAACGATATCAAGCCAGGCCTAAAGAGTGCATTTTGGAAATAGTTGACACTTTGCAAAAAACAAAACAAAACAAAACAGAAAAACAACACACACACACACACACACAAATCCCCTCTTATCCCCATAAATAACATGAATTAATTTGTAAGGTAACAATTTAGCTTTGCAAAAGTAGGCCTGATGATTAGAATAAAATATAATATAATATTTAGAAGTACCATTAAGTACCAATAGAGAAGCTCAAGTCATCATCTAAAAATCTCCTGTCACTCTGGAAAAAAAAGCAAGGAATAACTTCTTCAGTGAAGACCATCGTCCAGGGGGTAAATTCAGCCCTACATTGTGTATTCAGCCATAACTTTCCTCCTCTTTCTCCAAGACGGTGGAAAAAAGTGCATTATTAAAGTTTGGAAATCCAAGGTAACTTTGGCCTTAAGGGCAGAGTGTGGCAGATAAAATCATACAGACTTATTCTGCACATGCAACTGCCCTTCAACAAGAATATGCACAGTGAATATTTCTTTTGTAACTGCTGAGGTGAGGCCTAACTGACCAATTACGAACACTGCACAGTGTGGGAGTGGTTGCCTCTTAAGATCTGGCTTATGGAAATGATATGCAATACTCCGCTTTTTCACTAATCTATGATGAAAAATAAGCCACTGACAGAAACTTACTTCCAAGAAAATTCAGCATCACTGACCTCTACTGTTGCAGTTACCAAAATATATGTATTTAAATCTGCTGACATCAGAGACCATGTCTTCCATGTGATGGAGAAATTGAAACTGATCAGGTTGCAAGTGATCATAACATTAAAATTTTTGTAGGGGAACAGGTTTTACAATGCAAGTACAGTTCTCTATACTATTCTCTATATCTATTCAAACTAATCACATCGCACCCTTTCTTTTGTATCTTGAAAAGATCACGTGAGCAAGAAGGGAAGAGGAAAGGGTTAGAAAAGCCCACAGTCTTTCAGGTTCTCTTTGATGATTATATCTGTAACAGCATCAAACACGAACTTGACGTTTTGTGTGTCCGTCGCACAGGTCATGTGGCAGTAAATCTCCTTGTCTTCTTTCTTCAAATTCAAGTCTAGAAACTGGTTCTTGATGTAGTTGCTTGCATCTTCAAAGGTATTTGGGCCTGTAAACAAAATTTTAAAGAAGCAAATATTCATTGCATGGTACAAATAGTACAATTATAAACATTATCGGTAAGTTTAGGAATTTTACCTTGCATACTGATACTTAAAGTACCAACTATCACGCAATCAAAATGGCAAAGGTCAGTTATCAGGGACTTAGCAGTGCACTTGGTGCTGGAAGCTATGCTCACCCCACTGGGGTTCTGGGGGCTAACATTCACTGCCACACCAGACACCTCATAAGACATGGACGTGCCCATAGATTTACACAGCAACTGAGTAAAACAGATCCACATACATACCAGGTCCTGTTTGTTCATGCTCCTGTGAGTATGCATGTATATAGTACAAACAAGAAGAGAAAGAGAATGAAAATGCTGGGTGTCAATATGGCTGAAGAAGGGAGTATTTAAGCTGTACCTGGAGAAACGTTTTAGAAGAAAGAGGACAAACATATGACCAAAAGCCAAAAAGAGCAAGGGAAATGGCCTACCTCACTGGGCTGGAAGGACCTGGTCAGGTGGAAATGAGTGACTTTTGTAGATGGACTGTAGGAGGCATAGAACAGATGAACCCGGGCAGATTATGGCCTAGGTTACTGCCTGAGGATTTAGTAGACCAATAACATGAGGAAAGATGTGCTGGAGAAAGTGTAGTGGCAGAACATACAGTGGTCCAACTGAGATAAAGAAGAAATGAAATAGGAAGGCCAACAAATATAGGGCTGCTAAAAGTGACCTACTGATTGGCTTTATAAGAGAATATACTTCATGAGAACTTGACATAGAAACAACCAAGAACATCTTCTAAGGAGGTAAGACTTTTTCATCACTTTACTGTTAGTAGGAGTAAAATTCTGTGAGGAGAAGTCTTCAATACCATAAAACAGGACGGGCTGAAAATGTAAGTCAGTGGCAGAGTGGTTACCTAGCATGAACACAGCTGTATTCAATCCCCAGTCCTGAAAAAATATTAAAATGTAAAAGCAAAAACAGAACCTGGCTAAAATCCAAAGCACTGGAAAAACCAAAGATCGGCAGAGTGTGGAATCACAGGAACTCTAACTCAGTGCTCTTGGGACTGCGAAATGGAAATGTGACTTTGGAAGCCAGTTTGGTAGCTTCCTGTACAGTGAAACACAGTGTTACTATGCAAGCCAGTGATGGTGCTGCTAGATATTTATCTAGAAACTTATGTCCACACAAAAGCCTGCACATGGCTTTATAGCAGCTTTTAAAAATTATTGCCCAAAACTGGAAGCAACCAAGATGTCTCTTAGTAGGTGTAAAGATTAACTGCAGTTTGTTTATGGAATGTAATATTATTCAGGAATAAAATGAAATGAGCTATCAATTCACTAATAAAGAAAAGAAAAGCAAAAGAACCTAGGAAACCTAAGTGGAAGAGAAAAAGAGCCAATCAGAAAATGCTACATACTACAGTATGGATTCCAGAAATGCGGCACTGTGGAAAAGCCAAAAGTGTAGAAGCAATGACCAGATCAGTGGTCACTAGGGGCTCAAGGGGCGGAGGAAGAATAAATACATGGAGTCCAGGGGATTCCCAGGGCAGAGGAACTGTCTTGTGGCATCTGAAACATCCCCGAAGGCCTGTGTTAAAGGTTCAGCACCCAGCTGGGTGCCCGTGGGAGGTGGTGGAAATTCTCAGAGGTCTTCTGGTCATCGAGTGTCCCTCAGAGAGGACTGTGGACTTTGCTTCCTTCTTTCTCTTTTTCTTTGGCTGCCGTGAGGTGAGCCGACTTCTACCACACGCCCTCACCCTGCTGGGCTCCCTGCCACTGGCCCAAGGGCGACAAGGCAAACTGCCCATGACTGAAATCTCCAAAACGGTGAGCAAAAGACCCCTTTGTCTTTATAAGTTGCTTTATCTCAAGTATTTGCTACAGTAACAGAAAACTGATTAACCTAGGTGGATACATGATACGTATTTGGCGAAACACACAGAACTGTACAACACAGCAGGCGACCCCTGATTAGCTTGGGACTTGGTGGAATGATACGGTGATGTCATTCTGTCAGTTATAACAATTGTATCCCACCAGTGCAAGATATTAATGACAGAGGAAGCTGCCGAAGGGACAGGAGAGGAAGTACGTGGGAACTCCTCGTACTTTTTGTTCCAAAAGTTCATTTCTCTTCAAACTAAAAGCCACTTTAAGAAATTCTGCTTTTAAATAGATGTAGATGTGTTTCTGTGTGTTACTATGTCTATACATAGTTTATAATAGTAAATTTAGAATCATAGTTGTTTTAAATCACATGATAAATGTGTGAACATACAAATAAATTTATAATTATATCATGATGCCATAAGCAATAATTGTAGATTAGCACAAATGTCTAATTTTGATGAAGTATTGTTCCTTGAGCATCTGGGCTATCCCACACACCTAACAGGTGAGACTGGCTGTACAATTTTGCTTGAGCCAGACCTATTTCCCTCTTATATAATTTCATTAACAACAGAACGCCCAACTATGCACTAAAACCAAACTTTGTCACTGAAGGAAAAACAGCACTTCTGTGGAACTTGACCTTTACTCACTGACTAACAGAATTGGCACTAAATTTCTGGAACCTAGAGAAATTTGACAAAGAAGATACTGCAGCACTCCTCTCAGTATCATTTGTGCCCTCTTTCTGCAGCAATTCAGACCCTGAAAAGCCACTGAGTTCTAACAGAGCATTATTAGGATGTACATTAAAAATGCTTATCTGAAATAAAAGTTGCACTCCTATTACCATGCCAAAGTAATGCAGTCTGTAATGTCACCTGATGCCTTATTTAGAGGAGCAACTCTCATTTGTGTAAGCTTTTTCATTAGTTCAGTGGGGATGTGCAGTCCTGTAATACTGTCAAGAAAATTCCTCCTCATCTGTAAGACTGTCTTCAGTGTGGATCATGCTCATGTTTCCACTATAATCACATGACTCATCCTCACCAATAGGAAAGGTCAGGAAGCTATGTGTCTTGATAACAGCTTATTATTACAGAATCAAAAGACTCACCAGTGTACTCTGGAAAGCAGATGCTGAGATGCACTTTGTTCACTTTTTCTTGAAAGAGATCTTTTTTGTTGAGAAAGAGGACGATGGAGGTGGATGCAAAGTACTTGTGGTTGCAGATGCTGTTGAACAGATGGAGGCTTTCATGCATCCTGTTCTGGTAGAAGAGATGAGGGTGTGTAGAATGAATACTCGCACCACATGAGACTTGGGCATCACAAACAAGCAGGGAGAAGCACGGCCCGTCTCTGGGAGTACTTCTGGGCCACGCGAGTGCTTGGTTTTTACCTTGGTCTTTTAGACTTACCACTTCTTCATCTTCTACCAAGACCATGTCATAGGCACTGAGTGCAGCACAAAATATAATGCATGTGACGCCTTCAAAGCAGTGAATCCATTTCTTCCTCTCCGATCTCTGCCCACCTACATCAAACATTCTTTAAAAAAATCAAATGAAAAATGAATCTCGTAAAGATCTTCCAAAATTTGCATACAGGTTAACATTAAAAGTCATAAGAGGGCGCTCCATGTCCTAGAGAGGGATTCTTTTGATTTGAATTAATTATACAACACTTTGTCCACTTGTAACTCAAGGAACACAGAAAAAGAGAAATTTCATGTTTTGTTTTTTTTTAAATATCTACATGAGTAGAGTAAAATACTTCCCACACTTTCTTTGAGCAACTGGAAAATTTAAAGCAGGTTAGAGTTTTAGTAAAAAATGTACTAGCCTTGGAAGTTTCTGATCAAAGTTTATACATCTTCTCTAGAATGAAGAGAAACTTCAGGAAGACTGGAAGCCTCTATTGCAATATTATAGAAAGGCTGTGGCCCTTGCCTGTTCTCTTAGCTCTTCCTACGTTCGCTTATTTATTCAAACAATGATTGATTGCCTTCTATGTAGACAATGTACGACATGAGCTTACATAAAGATGAAAAGATAGGATCTATCTTCACAGAGATTGTTGCCTGGCAGACATAAAAACAAGCAGGTCATTATAACATTATATGATAAATACTGTACTGTCCAGGATGAAACATCAAAACGTGGAAAGGTTTACGTTGGCCTGAGGGATCATGAAACTTTCCAGTCCGAAAGTTTCCCCTTCCGTCCACTTTTGTGTTTCGGTAAAAGGCAGCATGGTGGACAGAGCACTAAGTAAAACGCCAAGCACTCCCTCCAAACTTGCCTTCCCCTTGTCTCCAAGAACTAAGCATCCACAGCACCATCTCTAGTGCAGCCGTTTCATTTCTTTAATCCAGCTCTCCTTTCTCACAGGGCCACTGCGTAGTGTCAATCGGTTTCCCCTCTTTCTACTCTTACAGCCCCAAACATTCTTGTAGAACTAATTTTGTCTTAATGTACTTAATTTAGTGTTGTAGTGAACTGAAGAAAGCCTCATTAACCGATTTTCTGCTTGCACCTGTCAATGAGTTCTCTTTCCCTTGTGACAGCTCAGGAGCTGCAGGATTCTGGGCCCGGTGCCTGTCCAGGCCCTCAAGTATCTCTCTCTCCCTCTCTCTCCTTGGGCACAGGCTCCTCGTGAGGCTGCTCTGTGAGCCCCTCCAGTATAAACAAAACTTTCTGCTCCCCCAGGACTTGCGCACAAGCTGCCTCTTTTCCTGTTGCAGGTTTCTGTCTTCCTCACATGACTGTTTCTTTCTCAACTTTCAGATCTCGGTAGCCATGCCTTCAGAAAAAAGCTGTCCTAGAGTCCATTAATTGTAGTTCTCCTTATGCCCCACTTACTCTCTGTGTAATCATTCACTTTCCTATATAGTAATCATCAAGATTAATGCTTAACTGTTTTAACGCCCTTTACATGTTTAGTATCTATTCACCTCCCTAATATAGCAACAGGCTCCTGAGGGTAGGGGCTTTGTCTTAGCAACTCCTTTATTTCCAGTCTCTGGCACCATGACTGCCATGACAGACACACATGAATATTTGTAAATAAATATAACCTGAAAATAGATTTCAGGTTAATGGGAAGGCAGGGACAATTTTTACACAAAGCACACATGGAAGTCACCAAGGCATGAGAGAAACAGCATGTTCGGGGTGACCAAGCCATGTACAGTCTTGGAAACATGCCGATTAGGGTAAAACCACTGCGTTATATGACTTCATAGGGATCTTTAACTCCTCATTCAGTAAATGTTCATTGAGTGCTCATTGTTTACCAGGCACCAGGGATTCTGCCTCAGGAAGCTTCCAGTCTGGTGGCAGTGGTGATGGTTTCTGTGTGTTTGGGAACAGACTTGAAACTGCCCTAGGGAAGACAGAGGGAGGGGAGGAGCACAACATGGGATTGAGTCATCAACAACGCACCGAGATGACAGATGAGTAACACCCCAGGAGGGCCGGCGGGCTAGGCCAGTGTTGGGGAGGAGCCCTTAGAGCTCCCGGTCAAGGCAGGAGAGGGGCAGCACGGCCAGGAGTCTAGGCAGGAGAAACCTTGCCGTGACTGACACCACCGATCCCCGCAATGTGCCTTGTCCCTTGCGTGAGGAACGCAGGCCTTAGAGAGCAGCCGGGGGCTGTGGGAGTCTTTAAGAAAGAGAACTGACATCGTGTGTGTCTGTTAAGTCACTTTGAACCCAGGCCAGAAAATAGACTGAATGAGGCAAAGACTAGGAGCAAATAACAAGCCACAGGGCTGGTGCAATAGCTGAAGGCCAGGACATTACATGCCGAAAAGCTCCCAAGCTGGGTGGATTTCAAGGGTGATAACGATAACTGCGGTAATAAGTATCGCGCAGTGCCGAGTTACTGAGGAGGATGAAATGTGCAATGCACAAGGCGCTGTGCTGCACATTTCCAGCATGACCAAGTAGATAGAGAACAAGTACAGTACTTAGAACTGAAATTTACACGTCTGCACTGATAAGACAGACAGACGAGGGGTCCTAAATTTCCTTATAGTCCAGAGGACACAGAACAGAAGATTGATGGGGGAGTCAATCCAGCCAATAGCTTTGGGCCAAACCAACCGAATGAGGGAGCGAAACCCGCACCACCTCCTAAACATGTGTTGACATGCTTGCCCTCCACCCGGGGGATGACCACCAAGCATAACTCCATTTTGCTTACAACTCTAACCAATCAAAGAAAAATGAGTAGTTTTTTTTTTTTGGTACCGGGGATCAAACTCGGAACCTTGGGCTTGCAAGGCAGGTGGCAGCACCACTGAGCTAAATGCCCGGCCCATTTTTTCTTATACTCTCTCCTCCTAGCCTCAAACAGGGCCTACTTTGCAATGTCCACCCGTCCTATCTCTGGTCAGTTATGCTTTCTTTTTCCTACATTTCCATTATAAGACACCGCGGCTTCATAGATTGACTGCGTGTCTTTTCCGATGCTGCCCGGCCATACTGGTGGCTTGGGGAATTGGTCCCAGGTTTGGTTCTTCCTGGCTAGAATTTGTCATAGCTCAACAAATCTTTTTACTTCAGGGATCTCTTGTTCTCCAGAAGTTTAATTTTACAGCAACAATGCAAAATTGTTTCATTTAGTAGCAGATTAAAAGAAAAACTTCTCATAATATCCATAGTAATGGCTAAGAGTTCAACAGTTACGTGGTCAGTGCCAGTAGAGGTTATTACCTATCCTGCTAAGTAACCCTCTGCAGTCTCAGACTTGTAAAATAAATGGAAGAAAGGAACATACATTTGTCTTTAAGATTATATTGTATAAAAATAAACCAATGCATTTAGTTTTAATAGCCAACTTTCTTTTTTTTTTTTTTTTTGGTACCGGGGATCAAACTCAGGACCTTGCTCTTGCGAGGCAGGCGCCGGAACCACTGAGCTAAATCCCCAGCCCTATTCTTAAGAAAGCAAGGAAATAGATATGCATTCTTATCAGAGTTAAATTTCTAGTCAAACATTTCTTAATTGATGAAAACAGCCTTCTGTTTCTTTTGGGGGGACGTTTCCAAATACGCCTTCACTTCTTCCTTTATTGAAATTATCCTAAATCACAAAATGGTGGAAAAATGGAAACTATTCAGATCTTGCTTTTTATTCCTTCCTTAAATTCCTCAATCCTAAGATTGTGCTGGATTTATTTTAACATACTTAAGGGTTTACTATTTGCCAGGTTTTTAATAAGACTTTTACATCAAGGGATTAACTGAAACCTCTCTTTGAATTTATAGCATGGATACAGTTACATCTCTTACTTTTCAGAAGGGCTCTTAAGCAATTTGTCCCAGGCTTATTGATTTAATTAATGTTTGGGGTGGTGCTGTCTTCCAGGCAGCACAGAGGGCTCTCTGGATATGAGGGTGCTACTCTGGAAGTTGTTAACTCCTGAGATGTAAACCTGTTTACTTAGTGGCTCCAATGCCCAGAATTAGCTCTCAGCCCCTCACTGATGGGCTGGGTTATCTCCACTGTGGAGTTTGTCCTTCTTTCCAAAGGTCCAACAGGAGTCCTTTTTGTGTTTTTAGGTCATGGGCAAAATTTCAAACTCCACACTTCTGAGAGATTTTGCACATTCTCTTAATGAAGATAGTGGGGACTTGCTGGATTACAGGTGTACCTGTTCTCCATATGATAATTATTATGGATCGTGATTATTTGTTGACAAAGAAATATAATATTGTGATCGGATGAGGTGTAACCATAGAACCAGGACAAAGGTGACTGAAGGGACAGGTATTTGTGATGGGAGATCCTCATGCCCAGTTTCAATACTAGGAAAAGCCTTTCTGTAGGAAGCAAACCCCAGAACACCTTGGTTAGGTTTGCTCAGCTAGGCAGGACATGCATTTATGCTGTTAGCATTTGCCTTTGAGTACCCCTTTTCTTGGCTTTTATGCTTAACCCCCTCTTTCCCTCCATTTTGATGGATATTTTCTTCTTTCAATCACAGTTATATTTTTAATCACACTATATTCAAATCTTTTAAAAATCCTCTTTTAAGGTGATTTTGAATAACCGCTCCAATGTCCTTCATGGTGACCAAGAATTTCACCCCAGAGAAAATAATGCTTTTTTTCTTTTGTGCAATAGTTTTATGTTGATTTGTGTTTGGCAGGGGTCCCTAGTAAACTGAAATAATAAAAGAATTATCAAGATACAGGAATTCAAATGCATGGACTCTTAGAAGTTACAAGTTCCTGAGGACAAGGAAAGAGGAACTTCATAACTCTCTCCATATTGAAATAGCCAAGTAAGTTCTGAGACGGAATCAAAGTGAAGCAAGCTCAATCTTCCAGTCCGTAGCTACTCTCACTTTCCCTGATGGTTTTTCTTCTTTGCAGCCTACAAGGCATCCATTAATGTCAGCGATAAGAGGTAGCTGTCCTCCTCTTCAGGCAAATATAAACAACTGTGGTAAATAACGTAGTGAGAATAGTGCCTCACAGTTGCATAGAAGTCATATTGGAATTGTGTGTGCTCCCTGACAAGTAAATTTTCCCTCCATTAA